AGAAAAAAGTCAGAACAGGGCAATTTTCAAATGTTCATATGAGAGTCCATTGGAATTTCTTGACAAGGGCTTCCAAAAGCATCCCTCTATTGGGTTCCTCCTCATTTTTCTTTTGTCTTCCAAGGCTGGTGGACTCTAGAGTGATGGATTCAGGATTTGCTTTCAGGTATTTTGTTGGAGTGGTTAGAATCAGCATCAGTTCCCTCTCAAAGGCTTCTAGGTAGGGGGAGAAAACAAATTTGTCCATCATTTTAGAACAATGTGGGGTTGTCTCCCTCTGCTACAGGTGGGTACTACAGTATTGCAGGCCAAGAATAACTTTTTATATAGACTTAAGCCTAATGTCTGGGAAGTGTAATCCCTTGAACTCGTAAAGAAATATACTGATGATTTACTCTTTGGTTATACTTTCCTTTTGGGTGTTATGACCATACAGTTGGCCCAAATAAATCAATTTATTTTTGCACTTAAGGTCATTTGAGGATCTGTTCCTCAGGGGTCACATGGGCTTGGGAGGAGCTCCTGGCTCCTTTCTTTTACCAGTTCCATCTATGTGAAGATAAGTCAAAGGTCCTGCTCAACCATGTCTGGCTTTACTTGGAAGCATGAATGAGGTGATTCCTCTGAGTTGACCCTCCTCTTTGTAGACTGGACACTGGTTCAAGTCCATCTGGTGGGGTCTCCATGTCCTCCCTAGCAAGAAGACAGGTGACTCACCACAGTTTCAGGACATTTTGAGAGATGTGCCATAGTTTCCTGGAACTTAGTTGACCTTGGAGGGCAAGGAGCAAAAACTGTCCCTTAAGTCCCTCTGACCACTTTAGTATAGGCCTCAAACTATGGCTGTTAAACATCCAATACGGTCAGTTCCACCAGTCTGGTACTTTTAATTATCATGTGCTATGTAGATAAGGCTTGGGTAAAAAACCAAATATTCTCAGATAAACTTTGACTAGATATATATTTTGTTCCTTAAACTAGTTGACTAAACTGTGACATAGACATTTTAAGATTATGTATATATTATTTTTGTCTCATCCTTTATACAGCATAACAAACCTGATCCTCCCTTCATCACTTGGTTAGGCTTTTTCATTTTTTCTATTTTGGAAAATATCTCCATTCCCATATCCTTTTAACATCTTTTACATTCTCATTTTCTTTTAAATAATAATGAGTCATAATAACATTAACAAATAAATTTTTCTTTGGTTGTGAAACTTCTTTTCCTGGGGATGCTAAGCAATGCTTATTCCCTTTCAAGGCTCTAGTGTTGCCAATGTTTGATTAAAGTTTTACTGGGGAACCAATGAATTTATTGAGCTTACCAAGATAACTGAGGGGTTGCTGAGGTGCATGTATGACCTGAGGGTATGTACACTGGAAAGCCTTTACCCAGCATGGGTCATGTATTCTCTTCCTAGCCTTCCCCAGATTGTATACTTTAGCCCCTGCCAAATCCAGGAGGCCATGTATGATTAGGGTCAAATTACATACAGTTGACTGGGAAGAGTGGCTGGGTAATGTGGTGGAAAAGGAACTAAGTTTTTAGAAATAAAAGAACTACTGAAGTTGGAGAGATGGCTTAGATTAAGAGCTCTGACTGCTCCCCCAAAAGACCCTCCAGCACTCATGTCGGGTGGTTCACAACCGCCTGTAACTTCAGCTCCAGGGTGCCTGCACTCACCATACACAGACACACATACAGACACATAATTAAAAATAAAAATAAATCTTTTACAGAAAGCAATTACAGGGGCTAGAGAGATGGACCAATAATTAAAAGCTCTTGGTGCTCTTGCAGAGGACCCAGTAGTGCCTGATATTCTTAGGATATAGTTTTTTAGCAAACTCATAAATTCCAACCTCTTTTGCTTTGGGGTCCTCTTATATAATGAACATTAGCTGTCTGCCTGTGGGCTAGCACCTCATGCACTTCCTATCCTATCAGTTTGTTTACAGTTGAAATTTTAAAAATGTTTAATTTACCTAAGGGTTAATTATATCATGAGACCATATTTTGTGAAATTATTCATTGTCTAGCCTGATATTTCAGACCTCGAAAATGTAGTTAATGAGTGTTATGGAACAAGGGAAAATATTCTAAAGTTGGTCATGTTAACACTCTTAAATAATCCTTTGCTTGTGCGGTTTTAATTTACTTTTTTGTTTATATTCCTCTACTAGTTTCAATAATGGATAAAGTGACGACAGTTTTCAACAGTGCACAGAGACTGGAAGTTGTTAGAAACTGCATCTCATTTATATTTGAAAATAAAACTTTGGAGACTGAAAAGGTAATAAAACACCACTTTTCCTATTTATCATTTCCATTTCAGATTTCCATTTCTTTTTTTTTTTTTCCATTTAAATTTTCCTTTTTTTTTTTTTTTGTCTTTTTTTGAGACAGGGTCTCCCAGTAGCCCCAGCTGTCCTGAAACTCACTTTGTAGACCAGGCTGGCCTTGAACTCACAGAGATCAGCCTGCCTCTGCCTCCCGAGTGCTGGGATTAAAGGCATGCGCCACCACACCCAGCTCAGATTTACATTTTAAAGTTGACAGCTGCTCTTTTCTTCAATTCTGTGCCCCTTCTTAATAAAATGCCCTTGCATTAAGTCACATTTTAAACAAAATAGTGTCTAAGATTTAAAACTGGAGCTCAAGCCTTTGTGTACAAGAGAAGCTTGGAGGTCATTTTTTTCTTTCCAGTTATAAAACATGGCTTATTAAACCCTTTTTTCAAGTACTGCTTAGAAACTTTATTTTAAACAGAATTTTATTTATTGTGAGGAATCTAGTTAAATTGTGTAATAAATTCTAGGAATTGATATTCAACTTACATGTGCCTCATTGAAGTTTCTTGCCTTCTTCCCTGGAACATGCTGAACATGACATAACCCTTTTTGGTAATTCATGATCATAGTTCTGAACATCTGTTCCAGGGGATTGGTAAACCATACACAGTTGTTTACCACTACACTGTATGACCCCTTGCCTTTTGATTTTTGAGGATTTTGTTGTTGTTATATATTGGTTGGTTGACTCTTTTGTTTTGACTTGTTTTCATATTTACATTTAAAAGCATAACCGATTTTCCATTGTTTCTCTGAGTTTCAGTTTTTGTTTGCTGTTTCTTTTTTATTTTGGTTTGGTTTTGTATTTTTGAGCTCACTAAGTAGTCTAAGCTTGACTTGAACACTTGATCCTCTTGCCTCAGCCTCTCTGAATACAATTGTATGCCATCACACAAGGCTTCACATGCTTTTATCTCTGCCTTTAGCATTATTATGCCCTCTCACTCTGAGACTCTTTTCTTGCTTATTTGCAACTTTGTTCTGTTCTTTAGGTTTTCCAAATTAAGCAAGCTTATATTACTATATACAAATAAACAAGCCTTACTTAATGAAGTAAAGGAGGCATTCTTGAGTGTTCTTTTTTTAAAATATTTACTATTTTTTTTTTATGTGTGAGTGTATTGCCTATATGTATGTGAGCGCACCCGTGTCGTGCACTGCCTCGGAGATCAGAAGAGGGCTTCCGATTCCCTTGGAACTGGAGTTAAGGATGGTTCGTAGCTGCCATGTGGGTGCTGAGAATTGAATCCGAGTCCTCTACAAGAGCAGTCAGTGCTCTTAACCACTGAGCCATCAGAGTTTTAATGCATGTATCTAAAGATAACTTTATATTAACCTAAGTTATTTTTTCTTTCTTTCTTACGACGTTGAAATAGGAAGACGAGATTGTAGAACTTTCCTCTCAGGGATTGAAGCTGAATAGTGGTGAAATATCTGAATGATTTAAATGTATGAAATCACCTGTGCTTTTTGTCATCGTAGTTTTCCATCTATTCTTGTCATTCAAAGTTCACCAGTTCTAAAAATATGTCCAAATGTCTGCAGCTTTAAATCATGGTCTCAGCAGCAATCATTTTGGCCATTTAAATTTTGTTAAGTCTAAGGGGAAAAAAGCAAATTTTTCTTTTTTCTCAATCTATTATAGAAGCCATTTGTGGTATGTTTTTCATGCTGACTTAAAATAAACATAGCTACAAATCTATCTGCTTTATAATTGGTCTTAACAGTGAATCACCTGTTTCCTAGGAATTCCATTCTCTTAACTTTGTTAAATCCTTGACAGGATATATTTGCATAGTCATTGTGGGTATTTGAAGGTTCTTTTTCCCCAGTAGTACCTTTTAGTCACTTGCAATATTCTTGTCTTCAGACCCTTCCCGCTGCCTTGAGGGCCCTTAAAGGAAAAGCAGCTAGACAGTGTCTCACTGATGAACTGGGTTTACATGTCCAACAAAACCGGGCAATACTGGACCATCAGCAGTTTGACTACATAATAAGGATGATGAATTGTACTCTACAGGTAATTTTTAATGATTTCAGATTATTCTTATTTGAAAATATTTTTTATTTCTTCAGGAGATGTATTATTTACTGAAGTATCAAGTTCTTGAGGCTATCAATGGTAAATAGGGTGAAAAGCTGATATACATATGAACCCTTGCTCATTAATTTACATGGGTGCTTTTGTTCTTTTCCTTGTTTCTTTTTCTGGAAAATATTATCATATTGCATTAAGTTTTAAACATAAGCAGGCTTTTTTAAATCATTGAGTTATATATTACTAAATTCTATAGTCGCATCTTCTTTTCAGTCAGTTTTTAGTTGTACTATTAAGGCAGAGGACAATTATGGTGACTCATTCAGTGATGAATGAATTGTAAGAAACGGTTTCCCACAGGCTTTAGAATATGTGTATGATCTTATAAAGATGAGGGCCCACAAAATAATGAAAACTAAAGTAGAAGAAGCAAATAATCCTGGGTTCCTTATTAGATGTTCTGTGGTATTGCTATCCTGTTCTGTCTACATTGAGAATTCAACAGCTATTCAACACCAGAGGATGTAAACAAAGTACTTGTAAAATATGGCATACATGCAAACAATACACTCATACACATAAAATAAAAATAATAAATAAAATTTTAAAAAATGGCATAGTAGAAAATAACTGCAGGATATAACTGGTAATAAAATTTATGGACAAAAGTGACCTAAATGAGTAAGAAGATTTACCATATTTGTGGATTGAAAGACTTCATCTACTAAAAGTATCATTTCTCAAAATGCCTTGTAGTGATGATATAATTCCTGTCAGAATCCTAAGTAGGAGATCAAAAACAATTGTTTTGTAATTACCAACCTTGTCCTAATGAAAAGGATGGGACTCTACATGGGCTGTGGATGGACGTACACTGAAGGATATTTGAGGACACAAATCAGACTCTATTTTTACGTATGTGTGTTTGTGTATGTGTGTACATTAAATTGGTCAGAGGGCAGTGGGGGGTGTACAGAGAAGGGCTCTGAATAGCTTCAAACTATTATATAAAAATCACAATAATTCAGTAAAAAAGATTTTAAAAATCAAAAAAGAGAAAATAAACCATGAAGACTTGTCTTATCAGATCTCAAATAATTAGTATAAGTTTTTGTGGTTAAGATAATCTAGAGAGAACTGGAGTGATGGCTTAGTGGTTAAAAGCACTGGCTGTTCTTGCAGAAATACCCGGAACCCAACATGAAGACTAAAAACCATAACTCCAGTTCCGGGGATCCAGTGCTTTCTTCTGTCCTCTATGGACATTGTATAACATGGGTACACTTACATACATGTAGATCATACACTCATACACATAAAGTGAAAAAAAGAAAAAAAAAGATAATTGGCACAATTGACATATAGAACAGAATAGGGAGCCCAAACTAGAGAACCCCCAACCAAATGCACATGTATAAAGAAATGTGACTTATCAAAAAATGCATTTTAGAACAATGGCAAAATGATGAACAATTCAGTAACAGTGGTGGGACATGTGGATGTTACCACATACACATAGTGTACCAGTAACAGAAAGAAGCAGACATACTTCACACTGTACACAAATTTCACATGGGTTAAAAACTTAAAAGCCCCCAAAAGATGACAATAAAGTCTAAAACATTTAAAATGTAATACAGGAGCAATTCTTAGGGCAGTATTTGTTAAACAAGTCACCAGTAGTGTCAGTCTTAAAAGATTTAATTTCACTACATTAAAATTAAGAACTGTTCATCAAAATAAAATATCCTGAGAGTAAAACACAGGCCAGGTGTGGCAGTATTTGCCTGTAATCCCAGCAACTGGGAAAGATGAGGCAGTAGGCTCTGGAGTTGGAGGCCAGCCAGGACTACATAGTGAGACCGTTTTAAAACAAAAACAGGAGAATGAGAACACAAACCTCTCAAAGCGAGTGATATTTGTAAAACATTTACGTTTCAACAAATTTTTACATAATTGTAGTGACATCGATAGGTTTAAAAGAAAGGAAAACTCAGCTTTAAATGAGGAAAACATGAAAAGGAACTCACTAGATAACAAGTTTTTTTGTTTGGGGATTTTTTTCTTGTTTTGTTTGCCCCCCCCCCCTTGGACTTTTTGAGATATGGTCTCCCTATAACCAGGGATGTCCTGAATTTGCTATGTAGACCAGGCTGGCCTGGATCTCATGGAGATCCACCAGCCTCTGCCTCCTGAGTACTGAGATTAAAAGCATGCACCACCACGCCCAACTTGATTACCAAATATATTAAAAAGTGGTCTTAAAAAAATCTATAGGAGCTGGGCGTGGTGGTGCACACCAGATATCCCAGCACTTGAGAGGCGGAGGCCTGGGCTGCATAGTGAGTTCCAGGCCCTCTGGGGCTATAGGTAGACCCTATTTCAAAAGAAGGAAAACAAACAAACAAAAAACTGAATAGATATGGAGGACTGAATGTTATTAAGATGTCAACTGTCTGTCTATAAATTGAACTGTTATATGTAACCTAAGTCAAAATTGCAGCTGTTTTCTAAGATGTTGGCAAACTGATTCTAAAACTTATATGAAAATGTAGCAAATTTCAAATAGCACACTCAGTAAAAAACTGTTTTTGTATTTTAATAGTGACCTCTCCATCAGTTGTCTTTGTTTTTGCAGTTACTGTTCTACTCTTAGAGTGGTACTAGAGACTGAGTCTAGTGTCCTGAGCCTGTGTGTGGAAGGCTTAGCTACTTAGCCACCCCACCCATATCCCCAGTCCATCAGAAGGAACAGTGCCTCAGCACTACTGCAACCTAGTTCCACTCAGAACATTGCATGATTTTTAAAAATCCAGTCAGACACCAAACCCCACATGTGCAAGTTCCAGTGCACAAACAAAAGAAATAGGAAAAGTCAAAGCAGCCTGAACCCTCAAAAAAATTACCAAATCCATAGTAATGGATTCCTGTGGGAGTGAATTAGATGAAATCTCAGACAGAGAATTCAAAAGAATTACTGTAAGAATATACAAGGGCTAGAAAGATAGTTCAGCCATTGACATTAAGAGCACTGGCTTCTTTCACAGAGGACCCAGGTTTGATTCCTAGCACCCACATGGCCCCTAACAGCCATCCTAACTGCAGTTCCAGGGGATCTGACATCCTCTTCTGACCTCCTTGGGGACTGCACAACACAGATGCACTTAAATACATGCAGGCAATACATTCATACACATAAAATAAAAATAATAAAATATTTTTTAAAAAATAAAAGAATGTTCAACAAGACCAGAGAGCATGGATAAATTCCTACACAAATCCAAAGAAAATGCAAGCAACTGGTTGGAGCAAAGTTAATGAAGTATGTGAAAGAGGAATCCAGTCAAAAGAGAAACACTGAAAAAAAAATCAAGTTAAATTTTGGAAACAAAATGCTCAAAACATCAAGTAACACAGTAGAAAGCCTCACCAGTAGAACTGGTCAAGTAGAAGACAGAATGTCAGTGCTTAAAGACAAATGTCATGATTAATCTCATTTGTCAACTTGAGATTTAGAATCAGCTGGGAGAGGAGGCTCTGGGCATGCCTGTGAGAAATTATCTTGAGTAGGTTAATTGAGGTGGGAAGGACCACTTACTGTGGGTGGCCTGTTCCCTGAGCTGGCATTCTGGACTACAGAAAGAGGAAAAAGTAAGCCGAATACAAGTTTTCATCTCTCTTTTCTTCCTGACTGCAAATGCAACGTGGCAGCTACTTCACACACCTGCTGCCTTGACTTCCCTGCCATGGTGGACTAACCTTGAACTGTGAGCTGAATAGACTCACCCTTCTTTAAGTTGCTTTTGAAGGTATTTTGTTATAGCAACTGATGAAAAACTAAGACAATAAAGTAGATGAGTTAGAATACTGAGGCAAAAGTAAAAAGAAAGAATGGACATGGAGATCTGTGGTATACTAGCAAAGACCAGACTTGCTAATCATAGGCATAGGAGCAGTTTAAAGGCATAGAAAATATGGTCGATAAAATCATAATAGGAAACCTTCTAAATCTATAGAAAGAGATAACCATTTACAGGAAGCATTAGAATGCCAAAACAGGTCACATCATAGTTAAAACACTAAGCATGCAAAACAAGGAATATTGAAACATGCGGCAGAAAGTACCAGGTCCCACATACAGACAACCCTATCAGCATTTCTCAGCAGCAACTCTCAAATCCAGGAAGGTGTTGAATAATGTATTTTAAACTCTGAAAAACAATAAGATCTAACTCAAATTACTCTGTCCAGAAAAGATATACTCAAAATTGAAGGAGAAGGAAAAGCCTCGATATAATAAGCACAAACTAAAGGAATTCATGACTACTATGCCGACACTACAGACCACACTTGAAAGAAACAAGCACGCTGAATAAAAAAGTAGACACAACCCTGAAGTCACAGGAAGTAGTAAACTGCACTAGAGCAGTAATAAGCAAATGATGATTAGGAAATTAGCAAACATAAAACAGCAAAATGACATTATCTGATATACAACTTTAATAATAATTTTAAATGTTAATGATTTCAACCCTCCTATCAAAAATGCTAACAGATTGGATTACTAACTAGGATCAGCTTTTTATAGCTTGCATAAAATTCACTTCACTGGCAAAAAAAAAAAAAAACAAAAAACACAGATATATCCTTGGCATGAGAGGATAGAAAAAGCATTCCAAGCAAGTGGGACTAGAAAGCAAGTAGAGTAGTACTGCTGTGTGACGAAGTTATCTTCAAACCAAAATTTGTCATAAGAGATAAAGAATTTTGAGCTGGTGAGATAGTTCTGCAGGGAAAAGAACTTGCCACACAAGCCTGAAAAACTGAATCCAGTACCCAGACCCTATGTCAAAAAGCCAGATGTAGATGTAATAGCATTTATCTATAATCCCAGCACTGCTGTAGGAAAGTGGGAGAGAGACAGGAGATTCATCTAGAAGCTCACAGGCCTGAAGTACACAGAGCAACAGAAACAAGAGATG